ATATATATATATATATATATATATTGCAAACCTCACCTCAGCAAGTAACAGAAAGTTTTGAGCCTTAAGGTGGGAGAAAAAAAATGATGCAAGACTTAGAAGCGAATATTTTTGCCGAAAGCCAAATTTGAACTCAGCCACAGTCAGAGTCTCTGCTGATGGAAAATGAAAATGTACAGTGCGCCGTGTTCTGCTAGGCTGAGCAAAGAGCAGTCGGGCTTTCTGTCACGGGGGACTGATTATGTTTGGGGTTTGCCTTTCTGCCTGCCAGCTCATGGGAGGATTCATGGGGCCTTCTCCATCTGTGCTACTTTCACAGGTCCGGCACCACCAGCCCAGCAGAGAAATGAACTGAGGACAGCACCTGTTTGTTGAGAACAGCCAAGAGCCTACAGTGAAACCATGAGGTTGCAGAGAAGTCCGAGATTCGCTGCCGTGCTGATCGTGATCACCTGTATTTGTGCCTTCCACACAACCACAGCCATGGACATTCCTCTAGAGGGTGAGTTCTTGTCATGCATTAAAACATCACTGAGTTCATAGAGGATTTAGGGTCTGGGGGAGGAGAAAAAGGCAGCTCGCTCAAATGTAAAAGAAGCAACGTGGATTTTGAACTTCAACAGAAAACTGTCAAACTGAGGGAGACATGTAGTTTAAAGGAATGTTTGCAAATATACAGCTCAAAAGAAAAACTACAGGAATGATTTTTTTTTTACTCACTTTTGTTTCACGCTTCCTGATATGAGTGATGTTTATAAAAAGGGAAGTCAGATGATTCTAGACAGATCAGGGGCCTCAGTGAAAAAGATACTTTGGAGTCATAATGAAACTAGACAGATCTTTAAAATGACTTCTGGACAAAAATAACAGAATTAAAAAAAGCGTGCGTCCACATATTTCAGCTTTAAAATTCCACCCTCTGTGTGCAGAATTCTAACCATAAATGGTCATTTTACAGCACCTAATGCATCTTGTTGATGTCATGCAGGTGATTAGTGGCTTCTGATGGGAAATTATGGCAAAAGCTAAGAGAAAAAAAACTAATCTAACAGAGGTGTGCTAACCAACCAGGAGGTAATCTAACCCTTCGTTTCCTTCTCAAATTTCATGTATGTCGAAGGGCTTCACATATGTCCCCTTACAGCACCGATACATCCAGTCTGCTATAAACTGCAGAAATCTCACAGCTAAACTGACACCGATGCAGTCCATCATTTTAATACACATCTTAACAAAACAATCACAAGAATGTTTCTTTGGTGGGGACGGTGTTCTCAATATGATACAAAGTCTCTTAGAGAGGACATATTATGCAAAATCCACTTTTTTAGCTGTTAAATTCATTTTGTTTTGTAGTTGGAGCCTGTAGGAGTGCAGAAACGTTGAGTCTCACCCGGTGCTATGTAGATCTGTTTGTGTTATGTTTGGGTCATTTTTTTTTTCAACCCGTTCAGTTTTTTCTGTTTTCTATGACGTTTTCTGAACTATTACGTCAAATTATTTGCAAGAGAATTGCCGAATGAGGTCTGGATTGACTCACCAATCTGGTCATCTTCATACTCCTCTGGCTGACTCTGATTCTGGGTCAGACTCTGATTCTGGGTCAGACTCTGATTCTGGGTCAGACTCTGATTCTGGGTCAGACTCTGATTCTGGGTCAGACTCTGGCTCCAACATGTAAGGCTGAATGGACAAATCGTCTGTTGTTGACATACAGTATTTTAATTAATTGGTAAATAAAATGTTTTTATGCCACTCAATAACTAGAAGCTGGAGGTGCGCAGGGAGTGATGTATCTCATTTGGATTTAAAGGATCACTGTGGTGAAAGAGGGGCTGGTAATGTTAAATTAAGAAGGAAATCAGACCAAAACATTGCAGTTCAACTTTATAGAGACCTCACTTCAAACATTGTTGTACTTGGTGGCCAAAAGTTCATTTTACACTTCCTGTCCTCTCCCACATTTAAAATGTCTCCAACTCCAAATTGTCTGCCCTTTTTAAGCACTTATGTTTTTGTGACCACTTATTGCTGCAGCCCAGCTCTGTGCAGCTTAAAGAGATCCTGTGGACAAATGATCCCGTCTCTGCTAAAGAGCTGTCGGCTCCAGCAGGGTTGTTTTTGGCCTTTTGTTTGGTTCTTTGAATAATGACCTTTTAGCAAATTCATAAGGTTTTTGCTTTGGTGGCATTCTTTTTTAATGGCTTTAAAGATGTTCAAGGTTTGGGATATTATTTTGTAATCCAACAGGATGTGTTCTGAACTTTGTCACTGACCTATGTGGATAGTTCCTTGGTCTTCATGATGACACTTGRGGTGGTGGGTCTCACTACTTAAAGGTGTTGAAATGGTGTTGATTTTGAGGACTATTTTGAGAAAAGTGTATGTGTACTGAAATCACCTTACACCTACTTTGCTCACAGGTGGATGATATTTATCTACTTTAAGYGGCCTCTGAAGGTCACGGTGGGAACCTACATGTACCACCTTTCAGTTTAAATGTTCAGAATAATTTAAAACTTGTTTCTCCACATTAAACTTCAATATTTTGGAGTATTTGTTAGAATTATTTACTTATAATTGAATTAAAATTATTCTAATTTGTGTGGCAATCACACAGCAAATGACCAAATGGGGGTGTGTACTTTTGCAATGTTATATGACATCAAGTGCTAAACTAATATAGACAAAGTTCAGCTGCTTTGGGAAATTAAGACACCATTTTCAGTAATTCTAGTCCTGTCTGTACATTAACTGATTTGTAATAAGGAAAAGAGAGCAAAATGGGTTATTTTTAATGAAAAAAAAAAAGAATAGCTGAATAATTTACAGGAAAATATACTATAAAGAAGTGTTACAATTATCAGGCTTTTTATGTATGGAATATATTAACAGCTATTACATTTTTTTGAATCCATTTCTTTGTGTCTTTTTGTGTTGGATCTGTGTGAATCCCAGTTCCCTTGGAAACACATATCAAAAACCTCTCTAAATTATTCAGAAATTTCTCCAAAGGGTTTTTATGAAAAAAAAAAAAAACAGTTCAAACAGGCTGTCTGAAAAGGCTAATGCATTTATGGGGATCACTAACAAAAAATGTTTTGAGTTTCTGCTTGAGGGTATTTGTGAGTATGAAAATGGGGAATTATTCTCCAATTTCTTGACTGTATTTGTTCTGTTTTTCTCCCCCTTGCTACCATGGATTATGTAGTTTTGGGTCACATAAACAGTAAGTAGTTTTAGAAACCTCTCTTTAATTTCCTGACTATTATAATTAACAGCAACATATTTAGCTAAGTGTCCCGAATGTCATGATCACGTATCATCAGTCCATACTGCTGACTTTTTTTTAACATCTGTGACTTGGGTTTTGTTTTGTTTCCTCACATCACAGCCACATTACACTGAATCCATTATATCTACAGTATTAGTATACATCTTTATTAAAAAGAAAAAAAATGTATAGGTCTTCTGGACGGGTTCTTCTCTAATGAAACGTTTCGTCTCTCCTCCAAGAGACTTCTTCAGTCTGAGAGTTTCAGGCAAAATTCAGGCTTTTAAGCACTGCCTCCATGTGACTGATACTCACATCACATGGYTATCATTGACACCTAATTAACACCTATTGTTAACAGGGAGTGGAGTGATACTGGCAATAGCAGCACTGTAGGAGGGGGACAACTGAAAACGGAGGCCTCCACCTCTGTTTAATGATGGACGGTCTTTCTTTACAAAAATGGCTTCTTTTACTCCTCTCTCAAACCAACGTTCCTCTCTATCAAGAATGAGAACATCCTCATCTCTGAAAGAGTGACCACTGGCCTGTAAATGAGTGAAAACTGCAGAGTTCTGGCCATTAGATGTAGTTCGTCTGTGTTGGGACATTCTTTTGAACAGTGGCTGCTTTGTTTCCCCGATGTATAACTGGTTGCAGTCCTCCTGGTACTTAACAGCATATACAGCCATTTTTGTGAAGAAAGACCGTCCATCATTAAACAGAGGTGGAGGCCTCCGTTTTCAGTTGTCCCCCTCCTACAGTGCTGCTATTGCCAGTATCACTCCACCCCCTGTTAACAATAGGTGTTAATTAGGTGTCAACGATAGCCATGTGATGTGAGTATCAATCACATGGAGGCAGTGCTTAAAAGCCTGAATTTTGCCTGAAACTCTCAGACTGAAGAAGTCTCTTGGAGGAGTGACGAAACGTTTCATTGGAGAAGAACCCGTCCAGAAGACCTATACAATTTTTTTCTTTTTGATTTTTTACCTGGATTACTGAGATGCATCAGGACATACATCTTTATTGTTTTTTTAGTTCTAAAGAACTTGTAGTATAAGTACATAATCCAAAACCCGTATCTATAAAGAAAAGCAGTGTCTTTGACAAGCAAAGTTGGACGCAAGGTCTCGCTTTGTATGAGAAATCTGTACAGGTAATTATTATTTCCTGAAACTAGACTGTATGTTCAGTGGTTCATAAGATTTTTTTCTAACAGACAGACAAAGCTGACTTAAATCAGTCTTGTGCAATTTGTTAGCACTCAGATTATGTGTTGARGATCAGACAAAGCTAGGTCGTTCTCTACTATCAACCTGTTGTTGACTTGAAGATGCGTTTGGAGGAAGAAACACCTGAAGTCTTTTAAACATGGTCGGTGATGGAGTGTCTTGTAAAAAATGTCTTGGCAGAAGAAACTCAATACTTACAACACAATAAAAACTTTACTAAAACCTAGATTTTAGCTAGCATTTTACTTCTTTTAGCTCTCATTACATTTAACAAAACATTTCCCTCTTTCAACTTTTGGCTAATTTTCTGCCTCGTGCCTCACAGCAAGAAGGTCCTGGGTTCGATCCCCGGTTCGGACCTGGGGTCTTTCTGTGTGGAGTTTGCATGTTCTTCTCATGCTTGCGTGGGTTTTCTCCGGGTACTCCTGTTTCCCCAACCCCCCAAAACATGAACAATAGGTTGCCTTCAGGCCCAGGCCGCCCTTGAAAAAGAGATCTGTGATCTCAACGGGTCTTGCCTGATAAAATAATGGTAAATAAATTGAAAAAAACTTTACTAAAACACGTACCAGCCTTTGAACTTCTGCTAACAGAAAGTGAACTGAACATTTTGATGTGTAACACATGAATATTGTAGATAAACATTGTGATACAAAAATAAGAAAAAATACCCTTAGTCGGCAGGAGTTTTCAAAACAGAAATGCAGAAATGAATCTGAATTATAAATAGGGCATGAAGAGGAAATAAAACTCTTCAATTCTGTCTGCAATGAAATAAAGGTCARTAATTATTTCTAACCCTTGTTTTTATTGGGTTTGTAATTGTGCAAATTGTTGCATTGAAAAGAACAATGTTGTTGTGGATTTTGCACTTTGTGGTTGTTTGCTGGAGAAAACATTGACAATTTGTTTGGATTAGACCAAAGAGAACCAAAAGAACCGACTCTAATAGTATAATACTTAAACATGAGTAAAACACTTATATTAAATGAAATAGCTTTTCAATTTAGCAGTACTAATTACACTCACACCTTGTGACAGTGCATCTTGCCTAAACAAACAACATTAAATGCAGACGTTTTACAAAATTAGTCATTTTTATTAACATACGAAGAGAAAACCTAAACCAGGGCCATTCAACTGGCGGCCCGTGGGCCACATCCGGCCCAAGAGCAACCAAAGTTCGGCCCGCCAATTGATTCATTCATCTCTTAAGTCCAAACTCTCGGTTTTCAACTTTAATTACTCTAAGTTCTTTTAGWTAAACATAAACATGTTTGGTATCTACAGAAACGTCAAACTCTTGGCTACATGCTGGTAAAAACCATTTCTATAAACACTCAAGACAGTTAAAACTACAAGCAGTTGAAGATAAAATGATGAAAGTGGAAATAAAACTGGTTTAAAAATTTGGCAAGTCAGTGATGTTAAAATATTATTTGTACCTAATAATAGAAGGCACAATGAGTTCTTTTTGTTTTTGACATTGTTTAATTATCACTACTTTTATAGGGTCCTGTATGTTGTATTCATGATTAAATGCAGCAAAATAAACTAATTCAAAGGTAACAGATCTTTGTAATACTTGGTTTATTTACATAATAACTTTAATTGCTTAATGTTTGGCCCCTCAGCTGTTGACCGGCAGCAACTGTGGCCCCCAGAGCAATTTAATTGAATAGCCCTGACCTAAACTGTTGGACAACATGGAGAAAATGTCCTCTACACAAGCAGACTTTTAAGGAATCTAGTAAGGGATTAAAATGAATGCTGACTTGGCTTTAATGACAGAGCTATGTAACGCTCATGTCATGCAGCATGAAGTGAAAGAATAAAATAATATCAATATCAAAAACCACAAGTTATTCTAATATCATGCAGGCTTATCAGGCTGCTGATTTGCTTCCTGCTGTATTTGTCCGTCGTGCTTATAGCCAGCAGGGTCTTAATTGTGTCACAAATTAAACAGACATGCTTGGTTCATGTGGAATAGAAGAAATGTGAAGGCTAACAACGTTTTGTTTGAGTTACCAAAATATCTTATTACCTGAGGTCATAACTGTTAACTATACAGATGTGATTTTGAGGTGAAACCTGGTGTGGTAGTAGCTGAGACTAATCCCTGACACATTCTGAGTGCTAACAGAAAGTGCAAAATCTTTTTGAAATTGTTTTTAATTCTCTTTCATTCAGCTCTCTGTCTGTAATCAAAAGCTTTCATTAATCACTGGATAGATTTGAAGGAAACCTAAAGGAGGACTCAGTCGGGATTTCTCCCATAGACGAGGATTTCTCTGGTAAAATTTTAACTGGGCCAATCAGCGAACAGAAGGAGAAGTTGTGAACATGGACGTCAATTTTCTGCACCGTTTTAGTCTGCCTGTACTTTAGCAATGGCATTGGAGGAAGTTRRTGAAGTCATTCTGTGYTGACAARGCTTCCAAATTAAATATAATTTTTCTCACAAAGCCTGCAGCTCTCATTTACAGCTACTTCGTTCAGCTAGGTTCTTCTCTCTTCCCAGTAGGGGATGGTTGTTTACAGCGCACAGTTTCCTGCTAGCTTCTTAGCTTAGCTTTCTTCACAGATGAGCYGGCGCTCTATATACGTCACAGCCAAATGCTAACGATTGGTTAAATCAGATCCAATCGTTTTAAACGCCAACAGAGTCCATGCCTCCAGCAAGAAATTGTTTCTGTATAGCTGAGGGTCCAGACTAAATTCATGATGGCTGCCACAGCCAGCTTCATGACATTTTGACTTAAATCTGTAGCGGTAACTGTTTGAGTCAACCCTGTTTGTCWGCTATGGTAAAAYCTTGACTGATTTATTGTAACTGATAGATGATCTTAGCCTAATTGATTGGTGTGCTCTGTTCATTATTTCCACCCAACTTTCATGCTTTTACAGAAAATGTTTTTTCATTCTCACTATTTAATGGTTTCATATTTGACCATTCTGCATCTAAACTAAAACAGTGACAAACATTGTAGCTCAGTGGTTCTCAACCTGCGAGTGGACATCTTCTAAATATCAAAAAGAAAAATAAGTAGGTCCTCTGGACCAGAGGACCTACTTATTTTTCTTTTTGATATTTCTACCTGGATTACTGAGATGCATTATCTAAATAGTTTCATGTTTAGTTCATATAAAACACCACAACAGTCCAGTGCTGCTTCATTCATTTGGAAATAGAAAAGCGAAGTTGTACATTTKTTTAAACAGTAACCAGTCAAACTTTGTGATGAGGTTCAGTCTGAAGCAGGTTTGGAACCACTGCTGTAGGACATTTAAGAGAATGGCTGCTTGACTCTTCTTCTGTGTGAAGGCCTTTTATTGCACGTATCTTCACGTATGCTTGTTTGTTTGCTTCCCAGTTGAGCAGCTGCCCACTATCACAGCTCATCCTCCCAGCTCGCTCATTGCCTTCCCTTTTGATGAGAGTTTCCCCATGACGTGTGAAGCCAAGGGGAACCCCAAGCCAGAGTGAGTACAAAGTCTTCTAACACCACGGAAGAGAGATGGAAAGAAAGGAGAGCTCAATAGCAGCCAAACAGACACCAGATCCAAACAATGACAACACTTTAGGATTGTCTCGTTGCATTTGGCTGCTCTCGTTTTGAACTTAGGAAGATAATGGAGGGCTGCAGTTTCAGCTGAAAGACTTGACATTTTCAAACTGGCTTTCTTTATGTAGATTCAGATGGACAAAGAATGGCCAGGAATTCAACTACACTGCAGACCCCTACCTGATGAAAGAAGAACATTCTGGGACCTTTGTGATCCCTAAAATTGAGAACCTTACAGAGTACCAGGGCAACTATCGCTGCTACGCCTCAAACAAACTGGGGACGGCCGTATCCAAGGAGGTTGAGTTCATCGTGCCAAGTGAGTGCCCTGCATCTGTCTGTGGGTTTGAGATGAGGGGTATTTTCTGTGTAACACTTCCTCTACAGGCTGTGACATGATGTATCACACTGTCACAATCAGTGTGATACATCATAGCATCCACACTATTGAGATCATTTTTTCTTCTGGGAGTTTTTCACCATCTAACTCATTCCACAGTTGTTGTGCTACTTCAACAATTCATATATCAAAASGTTAAGCTCGTTTAGGACAATCCTGCAATGACTTTTGGTATTTCAGCTATTTTTACTTTTTCAGCTATTTCACGTTTTTAGCCTCTTTTTTGCCGTTGAAAATTAAAGGAGCTGTTTTCAACATCCTGAAAATCCTTTAAAATGTTTCTAAATCTTTACAGAACCTTACACAATTTGTTCTGGTTCTGCTCTTTTTAATCTCGTGCTAATGTTAGCTATGTTTTTTTCTAATTTTAGCTTTTTTCCTGCTGTTTGACCTAAAATTCAGCTTCTTTCTGCTATTCTTCTTCTTTTCTACTTTTTGTGCCTTTTTCTGCTAATTTAGATTCTTGCAGGTGCCTTCTGCTATTTTCAGCTGTTTGCTGCAACTTTAGCTTAGGGCTGCACCGATTAGTTGAAATAATCGATGGCGTCGATTATGTAAATTTGTCGATTTTTTATTATCGATTGGCTGTATTACATAACCACCACGTGAATGTTCATGCAGTTCCATTTCGGTACCTAAATGCATCATTGTGACCGTATTGGCATAAGAGTGGTGAGTTTTCCATGCTTGTCCTGAACGCAGCATCGCGCAAGAGCGTAAT